ATAAGAACCTTTCCCATGTTTGTTGAAATCGGTAAAGTCTATTATCAAATGCATTCTCATTTCTTTATGTGCAGAAAAAGATAGTGAGCATCTCGACACTCCGCTGTCATTATCTCGTCAACGAAAATCGTTCGAGGACATGAGTGCATCAATTTGATTGTTCCAAAAATCATGCCCTCACCACGGCCTCGACAAGAACTACCTGATCAACACGTTCATCAGAGGTCTACGGCCGGATACCCGGACATTGATCCGAGCCGCCTGCGGAGGAAGTATTTCTCACATGTCCTTCACGGATCTTGAGCAACACATTGATCAAATGGCGAGAGAAGAAGATTCTCCACTGGAGTCCGTAAGAGACATGCCCAGGAAAGATAGCGACGCTAAGCTGCAACTGGTGCTAGACGAGCTCACCGCGCTAAAGACAAAACTCGCTAATGCAAGCTTTGTCTCATCCACTAGCACATCAGGTGTGCAGCAAGGCGAACTTGCTTTGTACGCTGTTGACGAAGGGATAGAAGATGTGAATTATGTCGCCAACAACCCCTATTCCAACACGTACAACCCAGGGTATAGGAACCACCCGAATCTCTCCTGGAGGAACAACAACGTCCTGAACCCTCCGCAAAATAATTATCGGCCAGTGCAGAACCAGAACCAGCGGATTCCACCAGGGTTCGCCTTTCAGCCGCGGGCCCCACCAATGCAGAATCAAGGGCCGATTCAGAACCAACCATACAGACCTCCGGTTCAGAATTTTCGAGCACCTACACCTCCACTGCCACAACAAGACGGTGACTCGGAGATCAAGGCAATGTTAGCACAATTGCTACAAGGACAAAAGACGCAAGAAACTGTGTTACATAGCCTAAAGATGGACCAAGAGGAGGTAAAGAATCAAGTGGGGAGCATGCAGTCTCAAGTGGATGGAATGCAGTCACATCTAAAGTTACTCGACAACCAGGTTGCCCAGATGGCCTCGACGTCTCAAAGACCGAGCGGGAATGCAGTCGCATCTAAAATTACTCGACAACCAGGTTGCCCAGATGGCCTCGACGTCTCAAAGACCGAGCGGGTCACTTCCCGGGAAGCCTGAGATCAACCCAAGAGAGCACTGCAATGCTATCACCTTGAGAAGTGGCAAGCAACTTGAAGAAGTCACTTCACCGATGATGGAAAAAGGACAAAGCTCCAAAGGCAAAGAGGTCGTGAACGAAGAAGCTGAGGAAGTCTATGTTCCTCCACCACCAAGACCTCCGCCCATTCCTTTTCCATCCCGCCTGAAGAAGCATAACGAGGACCGACAATTCGCGAGATTTGCCGAGATGCTGAAAAAGCTTGAGATCACCATGCCTTTCACAGAAGCAATCCTGCAGATGCCGTCTTACACGAAGTTTCTGAAGGACATACTCACGAAGAAGAGAGTCGTGGAAAAGGAGACGGTATCGCTCAACACCGAATGCAGTGCGCTAATTCAGCATGAGTT